GCATGGGAGGGCGAGGAAAGGCAAGAAACCACAAAAACTAAAACAGATAAACCAAAAAGGAAACAGAACAAGAAAAGAACCCCCCTGAAATCCTGGAGAGCTTTTAGCATCTGTTCCACTCCCACATGAATAACACTCACTTGGGAATTCCTATGGAAAGGGAAGCGTATGTGGGGGGAGAAAAAGACTAAGGTGGGGTGGGTGGGTACAGGAAGAGACTACAAACAGAGCATCCCAAGGACAGAACTAACCCTCTTGAAACCGGCAGGGCGCGTGGCCTGGCAGGAGAGGCCGCACTAGATTTATTTCTCTAAAATAACACCGTGTATTGCAGCCACCAAGGAAAACAGGGAAAGGAAGCCCGGGGTAGCACGTGGTGTGTGTGTGTGTCTGTGTTGGGGGCAGTGGCAGGGGCAGGGAGGGGTACACGAAATTGTGAAGGTTGGTTTGTATTCTGGGAGATGACAGACTGTGCTAAAGAGCACTTGAACTGTAAAATAAATGTCCCAAACACTGTCATTAAACAAAAAAAAATCCCCTCTTCCCCCGCCCCTTGCTGAACTTAGTTCCCCTTTGTGTGCGTGCTTTTGGTAAACACTGTGCTCCGAGGTTGCAGTTTGGTTCTCCTATACACTGGAGTTGAAAGAAAATAGTCCACAGGTCTGAAGATGGATTCTCCACCTAAAGTAAACAGCCCAGCATTCCTGTTCTTCTCTTGTCAGTGAATTTTCCATTGAGAATCTGTGACTATACTTCACTGGCTGGAGAACACAGAATCAAGTGGATGACATCAGTGGAAGCTGGAAGCTCCGCTGCCGGTTTCAAGAGGGTTAGATATGGAGAAGCTCAATATCATCAGTCGGAACAAGGTCAAAGATTGACTGTGGAACAGACCACCAATCACTTATATTCAAGTCCACATTGAAGCTAAAGAAAATTAAAATAAGTCTACATAAGCCAAGGTGAGACCCTGAGTATATCCCACCTGAATGGAGAGGCCAATTCTAGAACAGGTTTGACGCATTGAACTTGAGCCACTGAAGACTAGATGAGTTGGGGGATGACATCAGGGCATCATCTTTTATGAAGAAAGCATAAGGTCATTAAAAAGACAGGAATGAAGGAAAAGATGAATGTGGGTGTCTGAAGAAACGATGCACCTTGCTCTTGTCTGTGGAGTGGCTAACTAGGCTAGAGGAATGATGCAGTAAAGGAGAAGGAATAGTATATATCCAAGGGCTACTAACAAACAGGGAGTCAAGAATTAACAATGAAATACGTAAAGACTTGAACATAGAAAACAAAAAGGAACAACATGTTCTCAAGCTGAAAGAACTGAAGGTAAAAAAGTTAGGATCAAGAATGCACACGATACAATTCTTCAATCAGGATAGCCTTTCCTCAGCTGGGCCTGCAGGAAGTACCTCTCTCTGGCCCTCAGGCCCTTGGGCTGGCCTCTGCCCAGCTTGGGAAAGGTTAAAAAGCTCTTTAGCTCAGCTAATAAGTGTGTAGGGGCACCCTACTCCACCAGGAAGCTTGGATTTGAAGATGCACTCTCACTCTAGATCCAGAAAGCCTCGCTCCAATGGACAAGTGCTGGGAAGCACTCCACTCCACAAGAAGCCTCTGCCTGAAGGCACTCAGCCTCCTTGCTCCACAGGCTGGGAAGGCCATGACACCGTCTTGGACCAGTCCCTTAGTGGTGATGCCGCCATGTCTCTACCACTGCTTCTCACTGTCTGGTGCCATGTCCAGCGCTACAGCTCTCTCTCTGGCTCCTGGATCTGGGAGGTTGTTGGTGCAGGGGTCCCAGGTCCAACAGACATGCAATGTCTTCTCCTTCATGGTAGTGAGCTGGCCTCTTCGTAGCTCTGGGACGTCTCATTGTAAGCATACCGCGATGGCAAAACTGACCCATCCCTTTGCCCCCATGCGCACTCACATGGGTGCAGTGTGCCTTATTTGCATTATTAGCAAGCCATTACATCTCTTCAGAGGGCCATAAACACCTTCGCTGCATAGCTCCCCAACCCCCCTCCATCACTTGGCGTGAGTTAGAAGATGCGTGGCTTAAACAACTATACGAGCGTGCTCAGCACAGCAGTGATACTTACCAGCTGAATCCTAAAAGAGGAGTCAGGCTGTTACCTGAATGGACACAGTAGAAACATTTAGGCTCTATTTAGGGTGTTCAGCTTCTTCCTAATCAATTATGCTTTAGTTGCAAATAATAACAATTAGCAGAGAAACTTCTCTTAAAAAGGTTCAAGATATAGGCATACTTTATTCTCTTCTTCCCAATTGAACTACTTTGGAACTTCTCTCTCTTGAAATTCCGATCCTCAGCAGGCAGGAGAGCTAGGGAAGCTGTCTTCAGAAAACCACTTACAGGAAACCCAGACTCACCTCTGCCTCCTCTCCGGAATGTCCAGCACCCTCCCAAACATCATCTCAGCGATTTTATTGGAGCTGCAGGTGGGGGTCCGGTCCACCTCCACGGATATGGACAGCATCCTCTGCAGCTGGCAGACAATCCTGGGTCCAGAACACAGACGCCACATGAGTAGGAGGGGCTGGCAAGCAGGCACACTGAGGGCTGGGAGGGAACCCCTACTGGTGTCCTTTGAAAATACACTACAAAGAGGAACCTGTAGAGCACACACTGCAGGTCATCATCATATGTTCCGTTTTCTGTTCCCTCTGCCAGCTCACTATGTGAATGGCTCAGAAACTCGGGTTGAGTTGTAAAAGCAAGCTGCTCTTCAATTCATGAATCAGAACATGCCCTCTTACGGACCAAGAGTTCCATAGATAAAGAAATGGAGGCCCGGAGAAGGCAGATTACTGGAATGTCTTTGAATCAGGAGAAAATAGGTATTTGTCATAGAGTCTCCGCCTGCTCCTGGCTCCTTCACAGCGGTCTCTTGCTCAGTTCAGTCTGAGAACTCTTGGTGGTAGAACCTGACCCTCTTCCATCAGACCTCATGGTGGGAGAGTGCCATGCCAGGTGGCTGTGGCAAAGGAATTTGCGTGATCCCCAAAGAACTTCACCTTTTCTCAGAAAGGGGAGTCTGACCTGATGCCAGTCTTCTCTTTTGTTAATTTTATTTTATTCTTGGTGAAAAGATGCCAGGCAATGTGCAGTCAGAATGATCTGGGGCATTGGTGACAAGGGTTACACTGTGTCAGCGTTCTTGCTGTTTCTGGTCTAGTTGTTTTACTTCCATTTATGCAATCGCCCTGCCCTGAGACCTTCGCTGTGCTTCATAGCTGCTGGCCCTTTGGTCTTACCGATGTCAGCCTTTTCTAACATGTGTCATTTGGGGCAGAAGAAAGGCTCCCCCTCTCCCCCCTTGTATCCCATTTTATTAGGAACTAATACAGACATCAGACCATTCCATATTCAATCACATCAAGCTGAACAACTGCTATCAAAATCAGTTTCAAAACGAAGGTCCCTATTTTCAGGAAATCTGAAGGAAGCTTCTGAAATGATTGAAGCCCATATGCCTCCTATAAAAACCGGGTTGGTGCAGCTACATGATAATAGTAGCATTCTGGTACAAGTGTTCAATGTGAAACATATCATTTCTCATGTCATGTTCTAACAATCTGATTGCCTGAGATAGTACTTTACTTGTGTAAGAGCAGTCCAAGTCCCAACAATCCTAGCATCTCTCAGAAAGATGCCAAGTCTCAACCTTACGAAAGAAACGCCATGAACCTGTTCGCAGTGCAGCCTGACCTAACCTGGTCTGAGCCACTGCTGTCACAACCTATCGGCAGAAACGCTGCTCTTTTCTTCGGGGGGAAGGAGACAGAGACAGACTGTGGTTCTTGAGGACCAGAACACTCTCTGGTCCTTCTCTGGACTTCTCTGCAGACAGTGGCACCTGATGCAATATGCAGCTGCCACCATTCATTGCCTCTTGGAGTCCAGCAAAGGGAGGGCATTCCCGATTTTTTAAGGTGTACTCACTTTGTCAAGAAGTTTGATTCATTTAGGGGGGAACGAAAACTTGCTTTCGTTCTACAATAGGAATTAAGAAATTCAGCCTTCAATCAAACGAAGATAGCCGTTCGTAAGCATTAGCCTACGATAGAAGGGCTCACTCATTTGAGAGGAAGAGACTCTTCTGGAAGTAGTGCTGTTCCCTAACTGTTCCTTAACACCCCAAATCCCAGCCCTCCCCCGTTCCATAACACCCTAAATCCCAGGCCCCCCGTTCTCTAACACCCAAAATCCCAGGCCCTCCCACCCCCGTTCTCTAACACCCAAAATCCCAGGCGCCCTCCCCCTCCCGCCCCCCAGCCCGGGGAAGACAACTTTTGTGTCCTGCTTACAAATGATTGGCGTTCTTTGTCACGTTCGATTGGGGAGAAGGGTGGCTACTGCCGGCTTTCAAGGTTTTTGTTTCTGAAGAAGTTGGGTTTCCATTTGGGGGCTGAGTCAGTCCATCTGCAGTCACGCCTTTGACCAGCCACTTGATCACATCCCTGCAATGGAACAAGACAAGCAAGAAAAGGCTTAAACTCCTCTTGGTGTTACAGGGGGCTCAGAACTGCTGAGGACAGGCTAATTTTGTGGAGAAAGAAATCAGAGAGTTCTCTAGACTCTGGGACATCAAGTACAGTTGGGAGGCAGCAAAAACAGGGGTCCTAAATGAACACGTGCGTGATGAGTGGAAGTCTATCCTTCACATGTTGTTGTTGTGTTACAACTCACAGCACCCCCGTATAGGACAGAAGGACATCCGACTGGCCGGCACCATCCTTACATCTGCCCCAGGTCTCAGCCGAGTTCTGCCGTCGCCGTCACCGGCTCCATCTGCCTCCTTGAGGGCCTTCCGCCTTTGCCGGCCGTCTACTCCACCGAGCAGAATGTCCGTCTTTCTCCCGGGAGCGGGGCCTCCTGGTGGCATCGCAGCACACTCTGGGCTGTGGCTCTGCCACGGCAGCTTTTCGGGTTCGTCTGGCAGTTCGTGACACAGCACGTGTTCTTGGTCAATATCATGATCCAGAGGCACCAGCTCTCCCCTGGTCTTCCCTGCTCATTCACCAGCTGTGACCTACATGAGACGTGGTTGGAAAGGCCAGGACCCGGGCCAGCCGCCCCTTGTTCTTCAAAGGGACCTCTCTGCTTTGTAACATTGTCAAGAGTTCTTGGGCAGCAGATTTCTCCCTGTGACTTCCTCACTGTTTTCGCCCTGTAAATTGAGATTCTTGGCAACCCCCATCTCCTCTTCGATGACTGTGATGTTCCTCACTGGTGCAGTCATGAGGAATTATGGTTTCTTTATGTTGGGGCGCAGTCTTCTCCGGAAAACCCAACCAGCCCAGGAGGAAAAGGCTAATACACTGATCTGGGAATATTTCCAAGAATTAGGCAGACAGTTCCACCTAGAGGGAAGACCAGAAATGACAAGTCTCTCCATGGGCTCACCCTCCCTGAGCCTCTTAGTCTCTCGCTGCTCACCAAGGCTGAGCTAACCCAAGGGCAGCTTCCAACACGAAAGACAGGGATCCAAATCACCCAAACTGGTAACTTGGGTAAAACAGGCATTAGGCCGAGAAAGACAAAAGCGAAATTCTACCCGTAGCGTACAGGAAGATAGAGATCCACTAGAGGAGTGAACAAGAACGGCATTTTGAGGTGTTGGGAAAGAAGGTAAATTTTGAGAGAGAAAAAGAGATCTTGAAAATTGAAAACATGACATAACTGAAATGAAAACTCCTATTTCAGAACAGAATGATGTTTCCAGACTGGAATGGCCCAATGAAGGCCCAGCACCAATAAACTAACAAGGAAAGCTGGCTAAAAGAAGATTCTATAAACCAACAGAGAATTTGGTGCAGATTTCGG